GGGGGGGGGGGGGTGCCCACCCCCACGAGCATTACTCACCTGCTATAACCTAAGTGTGTCCACCACCCCACAACTTCCCGCAGCTGAAAAAGTCCATTTGGTTCTCCAGCATTGGCATTGAGATGCGCGACTTTGTTCAATACTGCTACGGAGGTGATGAAGGGTCCACAAATGAAGAAGCCAAAAGAATATTGGAGGAAATTGTCAAGTCGGAGTGCCCTGTAATCCTGAGGGATAGAAACAGGTAAAACATTGCGCATGGCAAAGGAAGAAGAGGAAGAAGAAGAAGCGAACCTTTTTGCATTTTTTTTTTTTTTTTTTTTCTTCATTGTGTACCTCCCAACTTTTCTCCACCTCAGCGTCCTTGTGGAGCCGGATGTGGCCCCCAAAAAGGTTGTCAACTCGGCCAAGAGGATGAGATACTTTTTCAACACCTCGGAAGTTCACGTAGGGCTGGATAATGCGCATCGCCGTTGAATGCCTCTCCTTTGTGCGCATGAGCAATTCTTCGTCCCATTTCTTTTCATTACATGACATTACATAACATTTCGTTTTTTTGTTGTTCCAGACGTGTCGAGGTTGCTACAAGAAGAACAGGTGCAAGCGCTTTCTTCAGGTAAAATATAACTCCACTTGGTAGAATAGGCGGGGTAGACAACCTACAACTCGTTTGCATTGTAACTCTGTGCCGGCTGGTGTTGTACCCCTCTTCGCAGAAATACGCAGGCGAACCGGACTTCTCCGACTTCACCCGATTGATGATAGGATTTTATAACGTAAGGATGAAGGGATTAAACATGTCACAATAAATGGCGCAAAAAAAGCTCCCCTTTTTGGAGGCACCGCCCCACACACACGGTCGTTTTCACCCCTTACAGATAAGCAAAGCGTACACAAGACGAAACGAAGTGGACAGGCTGGAGCTCCGACACATGATAGAAAAAGTGAATTACTTCCACTGCGCACTTTTCTACATCTACAACTACCTCCTCAAACACAAACACTTCAATTATAACGCGGTAAGGGAGGAGAAAAAAAAAAAAAAAGACACTCTGTGCTGCCCCAATGTGTAGTGACCCCCACCCACTCACACACAAAACAACACAACAACAAAACAACACACACATGCGCAGGTGGAGGAAGGGAACAGAAGCGCCATACTCACCTACTTGAGGGAAAGGAGACGAAACTGGCTGCTCCTAAAAACTCAAAGGGAGCAGGAGAAGGTCATGAACATCCCCAGGGAGTACTCAGATGTGATCATCCCAACAGAGAAGGCCAAGATGAAGAAGAAGCAGAGGAATGTGTTCGAGAGGCTCCAGCGGTTTCGGGTGAGCGCTTTTTTTTTACGCTGCTCTGTTGTATTGACTTGTTTTTGTTCCATGCGCTGCTCGCCTCTTTGCTTAACTGTCCCCACCCCGCATGTTATTGCCACTTCCCTCCGCAGAGACGGTTCCATTTGGCAGAGGACGAAGAGAAGTTCATTTGGATGGAGGAGCAGGAAGAGGAGGGTAACCGATCGGCGAGGGGAGAAAAGTGGCTCGTAGAAATGGGGCGTAGAAATGGCTCGTAGAAATGCCGCTTACAAATGGCGCATAAAAATGCCCACCTGTGTGCATTCGTTTGCTCCGCCTCAATCTTCTCGCGCCCCCATTTTTTTAGACCCACAAGAGAAGGACGACCCCCCTGCCGATTCGTATGACCAACCACTCCACAGCGACTCAACAATGGGGAACGATCTGAAGGATGATTTGAAGAACGACCTGAAGAACGACACCGAGGATGAAAACGCTTTAGTAGAAATAAAAGACAAAAATGAACCCCTGTCTTCCTTTCGCTTCCATTATGTGACAAAAATGGAAAAACCTGGTACCCCCAAGGAGGTTCTCAACTACCACAGCATGTACAAAAAGTACTCCAGGTGAGGAGGAGTTGCGACGGGAAAAAGGGAGAGAGTGATTTGTCTAACCATACCAAGTGCAGTGCTTTTCCTACACTGAAGTGACAGGGAAATACCAATTGAGGAAAAAAAAAAAAAAAAGGAAAAGAAGCCTTTTTCTCGTTTCAGTTGCGCTGCGATGTGGTGTTGATTTTTTTTTTTCCCATTTTAGCCTACTCCAAAAAAAGGTGTGCGTCAATTTGGACGACCTGGACGTGAACGAGGAGATAATCAAGGTGCCCACCGATTTGCTGTCTTCATCGCTTCTCTCTCTTTACCGCATCGCTCTCTTCACCGCTTCGTCATTTCACCGTTTCTTCACTCCACCGCAGGCCGAAAGCGTGCTGTTCAAAATCCCTGAGGCCGTCGGAGGATACACCTTCATAAACTACATCGAGAGCCAGCCCAACAATTACATATTGCCCATTAATGAAAATGTAGGTTTTCTTTAAAAAAATGGAGTGGAGTCCTGCGCGGGGCGTCCTGCTACCACGTGACTGCAGTGTCTCATCCTTCCTCCCGTTACACCGTCACCACCTCACCTTTTTCACTCAACAGTTGTACAAGGGCATTCAAGTGTACAAACGAGAGGAACTCAATTTGGGGGACTTCTGGTCCAACATTAACAATGAGGAGCTGAAAATAAAAAGAGTTGGTTTCTACAACCCGTTTAACATAAAACAGGTGCGCCGAACGACTGGGATGAGCTTCTCAAATCGCTGAACCCGCATACACATACACACGTGTACCCACTCCTGAGTTATGTATTTTTTTTTTTTTTTTTTTTTACTGAAGAATTTGGAGATTGCCATGCAGAAGAAGGGGGCCCTGTCCCACAGGCAGACTGCGCAGGAGAAGGACGAGGTGATTTAAAAAGGGGGAGGAGCACATGATAGGATGGCTCCACGGAGGAGTGGACCAAAGAAGCATGAGCCGATAAGTAACACCCACCTCTCTGTGTGTAGAGACTGAACAACGCATTCGCACAATTTTTTTTTTTTTTTTTTTCCTTTCTACCCATTCCACCACGCAGGAAATTACCGACCTATCAGATGTAAAACGCATGGAGTTGTTCAAAATGGGGCAGGCCGTCCCGTTCCTTCATGCATCATCGGTCATCCGTCATGCGTCATCCGCCACCTCCACTTTGTGTTCCCCCCCGCAGGACCTGTCGAGCTTCCAAGAATATTTGGACAGCAGGAAAAGAGCAGAAGCGAAAAGCAGGAGGAAGGAGAGAAGGCGCGTGAGTTCAGGCGACTCTACATCCTACGCCACATCTTCCCCTGTGGATCAAGCAAACAGTGATGATGTGGAAGACAGCAACGATGAGGATATCCGGTTTGCTTACTTTAAGGTATTATTCCTTTGAGGCAGTGTGCCTCCTGTTTTTTTCCCCCCCCCCACCCCAACAAAAGAAAGAACAAAACACACAGTTGTGAACTCCCTGCAAGGAAGTCACACCACGTCTCCCCACATGAGCATGCCACATGCGGATGTAGAGCTACACACACACATGCAACCGACTGAATGGATACCCCCCCTCTGCAGAAAATGAGAAACGAGAGACTGCAATTACATGAACACGAAGAGGTGAAGGAAGAGTTCGATAGCATTTACAACGAGGCGTACAATGGTATGTTTGTTTTATACACACTCACCTCTACGTCGCATGAGAGAGGGATAGATCTTAACTACCCAGTGGCATTTGTGTGGCGTATTGTTCCCGTGTTGCATGTTTTGTGTACATTTTTTTTTTTTTTTTTTTTTTTCGCACCTTAGCTAACGCGCAACCTGGCGAGGCGTATCACCACACGCACCACATAAGGAGGAGACTGACCGACGAGGAGAGAGGTAAGCAACGGAGCAGTGACTTTGCGCGAAGGGGGGAGGGAGGGACACACTTCCGCATGGGATTATTTTAAATCTGCACATGTTTACACTGGTTTTTATTTTTTCCCCCAATTTTGGAAGGCGCGAGAGGGGTCACACCGGAGGACATCCAGGAGGAAAGGAGGCGTCTCGTGCAGGCGGGTCGGAAGGAGATAAAGGTAAGGGGATGAGGAAAAAACGCACCCGAGTCGTAATCGCCTACTTCTCGTTGTCGCGTCACCCACACCGCCGCTTCACCACATCACCGCGCCACCCCAGGAGCAGTCATTTTACTTGTTCAAGAATGTAAAGTTCCCCGAGTTGCCCGCGGAGGTATCCTTAGAGCAGGGCCTGGACCGAGGAAAAACAAAGAGGAGGCAAAATGCAAATGATGAGCTTAAGAAATACATTCGTCCCCGGGTACAGGTAGACACGAATTTTTCAGTTGAATGCGCCGACACGCATGTGATGGAGATATTGAACGGTGTAGATGAGACAAGCACGAAGAGCGAAATGGCCCATGGTTGAAACATATATTTACTCGCTCCTGTTTTTGTCTGCCCCCCCTTTTGCAGAAACGGAACTCGAATGTACCGGAGCTGACGGAGGAAACGATCGAGGCTCATTGTTCGTCTGCCCAGGGGTAAGTCGCCCTTCTGACCCACCCACATGGGACAAACCCTGTTTTGATTCACCACCTCGGGACCATGCCATGAGACACACATCCCCTCTCTCAACGCTGCGCCCTGCACTTGTTTTTTTATTTTATTTATTTTTTTTTTTTTTTGCCCCCATTCTGCCAGATCTCGAAGTTTGGAAATTATGTTGAAGAAAAAAAGGAAGCATTTCAAAGGGGGTGCAAATGTAGAAGAACATTAGGGACATTTTTTTTTTTTTTTAAAGTTCTGTGTGGGTGTTATAGTTGGACAGCTGCGTTGTGGCATGAAGTCATTTAACCTTTTTCTACAAGACGTTTTGATTCACTTATTTGTGTTCATCCCTATTGAGTGATCAGACAAAGAGCTTACACATATGTTTCTCATTTTTAAAAATTTTTTTTGTGCCATGGGAGTCTATCCACTGGGGCCACGCAGCGCAGAGGGGGTTGGCCAAATGATGGGCCTCCCCAAAAAAATGGCCAAGCGCAAGGGTGAGGGAAAACCAAAGCCGCTCCCCCGATTGGGTCTTCCTCCAACACGTCACCTCTCTTCGGAGAGAACAAAAAAAAAAAAAATATAAGTCATTCACCCGTTTGGGAGAAGTGGACTAATCCCCCTTTTTTTTTTTTTTTTTTTTTTTTCAACTTGTATTTTTTCCCCACTGCGCAAGGCACGAACAAGAGAGTTTGCCATGTAGCTGCTCCGCTTGCCAATTTGTTTTTAAGGTAACTTTTTTTTTTTTGGTCTGTTTCGGCAAATGCATATAAACGTTATAAACGTGATAAGAGTTTTTTTTTTTTTTTCCCCCCTTTGGG